CAGCAGAGGATTTATCAATGACTCTGTGGCCAGCCATTCAATTCCTCACTGTCCCTCCCTGGTTATTAGGCCCCAGGATGTGTCCAACTCCTCCATTTAAGTTAAATTATAATATATGTTGTCTTCTGCTCAGTCAGTAAGAGGATGCATTATGGTTTCAAATGTCATGAAAATCCTGGAGTGGGGCATCATTTATGGGCTTTTTGAAAATCTTTAACTGCTATTTAAGTACAGCACCTGCACCAGAGGAGTCAGTGTTAATTTTTAAACACCATAACAGAGCATCAAAATGTGTCATGCCCCAAATTTTGATAATGTTGAACTACTGCTTGAGATACTGTCTGAGTTTCACCTTTTTCCCTCTACAAGCATCAGGCCAATTTTATTTTCTTGACAGAACACACAAAATATATCGTGTAGAAAATGCATAACTTTTTAAGTAAAATAGCTAGCATGCATACGTTTGAAGGCTTGTCAGATTCCAAAAACAGAGCTTTATAACAATCTCAGACAGGATTTTACAACTTTGGGAAGTTATCAGTGTCAGTCATTTTGTCTTCCGTTTATGAGACAAACAGTACAATTACAGGGTTCATGTTACAAAGTAATCTACCAGAAATGTGTGCTTGCGTATATGATTGGCCAGCACAGTCCCTCGACGGATAAAGTTACATTGCATTGTGGCAACATTTGAGTGAGGTTTAGCCTTGCTAGACGACCCTTAGCGTTGTTTTGCCATCTCAAAAAATTAAGTTTCACTTTTTGTCTACCTGCACACAGACCTACTCTGGATCATTCACAGATGTAAACAGATTTTATAGGGACTTTGTTTCTAAATTCGATGAATTTTACTGTCCCTTTAAAATTGTTGCTCACAGTTGGAAATATCAGATTTGGTTGCTAGTGTCTTTTGCAAAAAAGCCATTCAAAGAGGGGCTCTGATGAAATGGAAACTTTGTGTTAAACAAAAAGAGGTTTTAGAGAATTTTTGTACTGTAATTTATACCTAGACTCTGGTATCGTGCTGACAATAGTATTGAGCAACACTGTGTCTACTTGTTTCCAATATAGCAGGCTCACATTATAATGTATGTATTATATTTGAATGTTGTATTCAGCAACCACACCATCAGACTATTTATTTAAATATAAACAGAAAAGCTGTGAGAGGCGGCTCCCTTGTTATTCCCTTTTGTTACAGATTTATGGGGGGAAAGAAAAGAAAAGACAATCTAGCATCTTGCCACTTGCTCTTGTTAATTTTGAACAAATTAGTTCCTGGCTGCAGTCCAATCTTCCTTTATTCCCCGGAGCCCTCTGGACACTACTGGTACATCTAAATTACGGCAAGAAAAGCTGTCATGCTGCTTTAACTTGAAGTGTTTGCAAAAGATGTTGAGTTCAGAAAGAGGTTAAGAAAATGTCACATGCTGTACACAAATGAGGCTTTGTTTTAAGAAAGCAACTGCAGTGTGTGGCGAGTGACTCAGAGATGTCCAGAGAGCCGGATGTTTAACAGCTGGAAGGGTTTGAGTTCAGTTCAAACACCACAAATCTCTGCTTTAGACAGCGTTTTATCTCCACTGGTGTATCATCAGATGCTGATTATTAGGCAACAGACCTGACACTTACTCAGATGTTATTTCAATCCCTGACTGACAAACACGGACACACAGCGAGAAAAGTACTAGCTGCAGATCTGTTCCCATGGTAACACGGACCAATAGATCTCAGCTATTGACTGAGGATGAAGATCTCTGTAGACCTATTAAAGAAAACACCAACACACACACACACAAACACACACACGTACTGTATGTGCCCGCACACACATACATAAATCACACTGACTAGGCATCAGCCTCCAAAACATCGAGTGGGGGGGGGGGGGGGGGTGGTATAAATGGAGAATATAAAAAAAAAACAGAAATGTTTTCTCTCTAAACGACTTGAAACAGCTGAATGCTTGAGTAACCAGGTAAGAGAGGGAAAGTCAAATCTCCCCAAGCCATGCTGTGGAAAAGCTTGCTTTTAAGTGGCACAGCAACATGGTATAAAAGAGGATATGTTGAGAGTGAGTGGGCGATTTGCTCAGATTTAACTGAGGAGGCTGGGCAGATAAACTGTCTTTTTCCAAATACTTTGGCAATCTTCTCCATATTCTGCATCTCTGCTTTCATTCTCAAGTCTGTGCTTAACAAGGGGGTCTGAATTTAATACATTTGCGCAGTCTTTCGTTATTACCCCCAAATGACATCCTGAGTGGTGTCATGTGTTAGTCAGACGAGACGCTATTTCATTATTTTCCAATTTGAAAGTTAATAAGAGAGGTTTCCGAGGTGGTGCTGACAGAGTCTTCTTCTGACTTTCTGACTCTGGGTGTGCAAGTTAGCCAGTTATCTGCTTAAATAATTATGATAATATAAACTAGCAGCACGCCAACAGTGAACCTTTCAACAATTTAATCAGACTGCCGATGTCAGTGTAAAACAGAAGAAGGCCCTTTGTTCTGGTTTTGTCCTCAAATTACTACATTTTAGGAAAATGAGGGGGATGATTTGGAAGGCTTGTTATTTTATAAAGTTCGGTGTCACTCACCTGTGTTTGTATATGGTGTGTTTGTACATGGATACATCGTTGGCACCAAGTTATGTTCGCCTATTATTTGTTCTTCATAAAAGCTAATTATTTCAGCGGATCTCCTTCAGGTAATCAGTGCTAATATGAGATCTTCAAATATCTCCCAATTAATTGATTTGAAGCTACATTTAGGAAACGATTAATCACTTAATCTGTGATCTTGACTTAATGTATGTTAAAACAGCCTGTTCTCATGCTCAGGCGTCACATATACACGCTTTGGAAAAGCCGTGTCTATTGTACGCAAAACGGCGACTTTGCGTGTATAGTGGACACCCCGGGGTGACCGCTTCCGGTCGCTAACTAGCCAGCTAGCTAGCGATGTTTTTGTTTAAGGAGTTGACACCCCCCCCGAGGCAACTTCCCTAACCTCAACCATAGCATTAGTTAGTGCCTAAACCTAAGTCAGTAAATATATGCTAACCCTACAGCTGTAGGTAGGGTTAGCATCCTCCTTTGTGTTGCAACACTATATGTATATGTTTGGTTTGGGTGGCGGTTGACTTAGCTTTCTTGTATTTGTGCATTTTTTGTGACAGCTAAGGTACATAAAGACTTGTTATATTTTCTATGTTCTGCTTTTATAAGATCATTACAATTGAGAAAAGCGAATGGATATTTTAAAAACTTCAGCAGCGCCTTGTCTCATACTGACAACCTTCCACAGTTGTCTCTGAAATATCCTGAAAACTAAAGCCATTATTCATTATTCCTGGAAAGAGACAAGACATTTGACATTTAAGGTTTTTCAAATGTCATCATCAGCGCTGCCAGCACCAACTTTAAAATTCCATCCACATCCAGTGTGAGTTGGCATCACAAGTCTGAGTGGCCAATATCTCCAATCCTCTGCAAATCCAATCTAAACTCTAAACTACCCACATAGGTCAAATGGGCTAAGTGGAAAAAACAAGAACCTTTTTTTTTGTTCATTGGGCTGAATGACTAGGGGTGGTGATGGCGCATAAATAAGATGATTGCCTTTGGTGTGGGAGACCTGGGTTCGATTCCCACTGTGAGACATCCACCATTGTGTCCCTGAGCAAGACACTCAACCCCTAGTTGCTCCAGAGGCGTGCGACCTCTGACATGTATAGTCTGGATAAAAGCGTCAGCTAAATGTAATGTAAAATGAATTGCTCCTTTAATAGCCAGTTGCATCTTTGAGCACCTCTGGACCTGGCTTGAGTAAGTAAAGGACATTTTGTCCCTTAGCATGTATATGCATGTCAGCTGTAGGCTATCTATGCCTAGCTCTCATTGATATTGCTTTGTTTTCAAGAACTTGTCAAAAACCTAATCAACGCAAACTGGACCATGCGCAGTCAAGACATACTCCAAGTTTAACCAACTCAAAATGAAATGCAAATGTGATTCAGTGACGCCTGGAGGTTGTTTGGGGTTGAGGTTTATGCTGCAAGAGATCTCAGTCAAGCACCTTCCAGTGCTTTGATAAACATGAAATACATTCCTTTAAGAAAACCTCTCAGGGAGTTCAAATATTTAGAAGCATACCTCAAATCATAATGAAAAATTGCTTTTTGTTGTATATTATATTAAAATTATTACAAAATTATTACCCGTCTGTTGACTAAAGAGTCTTGTCCTCTTTGTGAGCTGTAGTCAAAGCAACATGACTGAAATATGTTTTGTCTTTGTTGCTATTTTTGTGCTTTCCTCTGGTGGCTGTGAAGACGCGGGAATCATAAATTATAAATCGGTTCTGACTATAAAACGTCCCCTATGGATCTTGTTCGAGGTTTACGACTCTGGGGCTGAATGCTTCATTAATGAATAAAAAGTTTCCTCCTTAACGCCAAGAAACGGCCGCGTTGAGAGTGTTGCGGCGGCGCGGCGCTGCGGTCCACCGTGCGCTCCGGCTGCGTGTTTGGGGACGTGACATCGGTTAGGTCCTGTGTACGACCACGCCGATGGTTTAAATACATAACAAATACGTTGAAAATGCAGTCAGACCGATAAATCAAATGAATGAAAATATATAGGTTGTGAAAATAACAACAAAGCCCTCAGAGACACCAAAACAGCCCCAGACGCATCAAAATGGCCATTTCTTACACTGCCCAGCTGTTGTTTTTACTGGTTATCACTTACATCTAACAGAGTCTGGTGGAATCTTCCACACATTGGATAAACTCTGATCTTCTCCTAAACTGGCTAATAAAGAACTGCATTATTGATGTGAAAAATCAAGCCACCTTGAGACTGGAGTGGGAGTCAGAGCGTTCAGTGCCACTCGGGCTGCCGTCATGTAGTGTTTATGGTTTCTTTGTATGATTAGGCTATAACAAATAAAGGAGCACTCTTACAGGTTGGATAATAATACAGCATCCGTGTCTTACCGTCAGCGGCCAAGGAGCTCTGCATCATCAGCATCAGCACCGCGCTGACGGTCACAAACCACCGGGCCAGCGTCCCATCCAGCGCCCGCGTCCTCTTCCCGTTCCTCGGCGAACAGACGGCCACCATCCCCGCATCCAGGATCCATGCCGTGGGAGAGGAAGAGCGGGGGTCTCCTTTATTATTTACCCCTCCAACCCCGGGGCCACTGCTGCCGCTGCTGGAGAGGGGCGCATGTTTGGGAGCCATTGGTCAACGAATTAATCCTGAATGGAAAGCATCTAACGGCGCTGGTGTGGTGAAAGGCATCCGATCAACGCGCCCCCGGTGCGGACAAGCAGGGCTCCGCTCTCCATGAGCCAGCTGGAGGCTGCGGGGATGGGTAAGGAAGGAAGGAGATTTGTTTGTCCCTTAGCGCGTATTGCTCTGTCAGTTTATGTGTGCAGGCCTAGTACGCGCGCGCTGTGTGTGAAGTCTGATGTCCCTACTGCGACCGCAAAGCGCTCCCCATCTCTGCTGGCAGCTGCATCAATAAGCGGACACAATACCGGAAAGCACAGTGTGCCGCCTTCAAAATAAAAGCGTTCACTTTTTGTGCATTTGGCATGGTGTGGTTAAAGAGTCGCTTTACGGGTGTGCACAGGTGTGTCTATCTAGTAGTATCTAGATTAAGTCTGAGAAGATCAAAATGATGTCATTAAGATTATGTGGATTTGGACATTTCAAAAATTAAAACTTTTATTAGTGTTATGCTATATGTCACTTTCTCAGGGAAGCCAGGAGGAGACATAAACAATTGAACAGTTTTATAGAAATGAACAAACTATGGGACAATTACTATGAAGGTAATCACTAACATGACACCAGCACAAAAAGTCCATCAGTACTTCCAATGACATGCAAAAAGTTAATGAACTGCATGACTTTAATCTGAGATTTGAATTTCAGGACCTCTGAATGGAAGGATGTTTTAGAGACAATTCCTGTCACAGAGCAGAACGCAGGGCTAGTGGTAGAACCCTAGGAGGTCACAACACTTTTTAAACACTGGGCCGTATGGAATATGTGCATTCTTCCTTAAGACATGTGCAGAGGAGCTGAAACCTGCATGGTGCCCCATCTTTCAAAAATCAGTAGACTCACACACCGTACCCGCCTTGTGGAAGACATCAGTAATCATACCTGTACCTAAAAAAAACTTGCCCAAAGGTGAATAATGATTTCAGGCCTGCAGCACTGACATCCATTGTCATGAAATGTCTTGAGAGGATAATGGTGTCATTTCTTAAGTAAGCTGTGGAGTGTCTTTAGATCCCTTTGCTTATAAGCAGGGTTATGGTACAGATGACGCTATTAGCAGCATTTCACATCTGGTAAATAAACACCTTGAGGACCCCAATGCCTATGCAGCATTTTGTTTGTTGATTTTAGTTCAGCTTTTAACACGTTGCAGCGTCATATCTCATCCAGAAACTGAAGCACATGAACTCTTTTGTTCTCAACTGCCATCACTGGGGTAGTGATGGAGCAGTGGATAAGACACATCCCTTTGGTGTGAGAGACCCAGGATCAAATCCATTTTGAGACACCAATGTGTCCCTGAGCAAGACACAACCCCTAGTTGTGTGACCTCTGACATGTATTGCATTTGTAAGTCGCTTTGGATAAAAGTGTCAGCGAAATGAAAAACAAAACTGGTATTTAACTTTTTTAACAAACCGTACTCAACAGGTGAGAGTAAACTCTCAGAGCCCAGGCCAGTCAGCACTGGTGCCCCCCAGTTTTTGGAAAGCTGCAGAATGGACAGAGTCTAAAACAAATTACCCTTTGAGGACAATAAAGTATATCTTATAGGCTATCTGGACTTTAGCAGAAATTTTAGGTACTTGGGTTTTACTCGAATATTTTGTTTTCCAGTGGTGGAAGAAGTATTCAGGCATTTAATAGTCACAATAGAGAGCCTAAGTCCCTCCCCTTGAATTCAATATTTTGTCATTCCTTCAGGAATTGCTGGAAAAAGGTGTCTTCTTTTCTTTGATGAAGGTCTATTTGTCAGCTATCTCAGCATGCCATAAAGGATTTCTGGAAAACTGCCTGCTTCTAATCCTCCGGTGGTGTGTTTTATGAAGGGCACATTAAGGAAAAGACGGATGTGTAAAATCATGGTCCTGCAGTGGGATCTCTGTCTAGTTTTAGACGCATATGTGGGGAGCCATTTGACCCACTACAATCCATTGATATGGATACAGTCCCGTATAAGACATAAGTATAAGGTAACAATGCATTATAATCCTGCATACATCCTTGAAGTGCCCGCTGTGTCATATAGGATGTTAGTTTGTGAACTGACATGCTTTTCACCACCCCCGTTTGCGTTGGCAGAACAGCAGCGCTTGAATGATTAGCCCCAGGGGAAGATGGGACTTCTCCTACCCGCTACAGTCTCATTGGTCTTGACAGTTTTCTTTCAGGTGGGTCTCATGATGTGTTGCTCCTCATTTCCCTCCCTCAGGGAACATATTTATAAGTTCCATGTTGATTACGCGTCTCTAACTGTACACAACCTTGAACAGTGTCGTCGCTGCAATTAGGAAATCATGCACAATCCTATCCCCAGTTTGTTTGGAGCAAGTGGCACTGTAATCAATTATAGATTGTTACATTAATGAATGTTAAGTCTTTCAACAAAAATGTTTTGCTTCTATGCTTTCCAAGCACGCAGATGACACCTCTATCATTGGGTTTGTCAATAACAATGTCTAGAAAATACAGACAACAGGCGAATTGGGCTTTACACTGGTGCAGGGACAACAACCTCTTACTGAAGCTGCAACCTCCGGTGTGAACATGTACTGGATAAAAAGGGGTGTGAAGCCATTGCGGAAGTGCCTTAAAACCTGCATTATTTCTAATGGTCAAGCCACAGCTTGCAAAAAGAAGTCTGACTGCATTGGAGTCAATGACAAAATGACCCTACTTCTCAACTGATATATTACCTCAGTAAACACTTTCCTTATGAGTTTATGGTCTCTGTCACTAGTTTCAAGGCTTCTTCAATACAGCATTATGTTAATTTTGTAAATTATGGTCCATTTTAGAGGAAAATAGATGATAAAGCAGGGTATCCTTTAGGGCGTGGCTATGATGTGATTGGCAAACCGTTCCCAAGACAAGAATAGAGGCGAATTGGATCCACTGCATCGGGTACATTTAACCAGTGCCCTTAAAAAAGCTTGTTTAAAGGAGCAGTAGAGAATTCTTTTCAAAATATTTTTTGCATATTTCCTCCTTCCTCCTACTGCTCCTAATGCCATTTGCAAGAATCCATCACGCCTGAGTCAAAACAACCAATCAGACCCGGGAGGAGTCTCTAAAGCAGTGTCAATCACTGCTCATGCACATGCAACGCAGCCCTCCTCCTCGTGCTTGCTCTCACTCAGTCAAGCTTAATATTTTCAGCTCGTAGCTTCATAAGTTTTGCAAACACAATGGCTGAGAAACAACCAGCAGCACGTGTTATCATACCCAGGCTCCACACAGAGCTGTGGGCTCATTATGCCAAAAACAGAGGCATCACTGACGTTTCTTTGCCTCAGAATCTGCCTTTCCATTGACAGCTGTCCACAAAGCCTCCAGTCTCAGGACTTAACTTTGTCTGCTCTCATCTCTTATCCCAACAACCCCATCCACATTCACCCCCCAGTTTCATTTCTCCTCCATGCCACTTATTCTGTCTCCGGTTCTACCGTTCCCAGCAATGCACGTCCCTCCCAGACACCAATCTCTGCTCCAACTGCCCCATCAACCATACCTGTGCCACAACTGTGTCCCTCCAAGGCCAGGATAAATAAGAGAAAGGTGGAGCCAGATACTAACTAGTAAATGCATTGTCTTGATGTCATCTATAAAACAAGATGAAAGTGTATTGGTGACATCATCTGTCTAAAATAAAGTAAGATAAAATGAAAGCATAAATACACAAATAATGCTAAATTTAATTCATAATGATAAAATATCGGTAAAACTTCGGTAATGTACATGACAGCAGCTCCTCTTAAAAGCATCAGACAGTTTATTGAGTCAAGGGTTTGGGAGAAAACAGTTCTTCCCAAATATCCTTTTCAGGGCAGATTTGTTTTCAGGAGACACTGAAATTCCTGTCAGCTGCACAGTGTGCACATTTCTTAGTAGACATTGATATCTGCGGGCCACAAGTTGTAGTAAAAATGAAATTACTTGATATAAACTTTAATTATTATTAGATAATGATTATCAGAATATATTTGGATTATCCAGAGCATGGACGTTTTATGGAGGATGATCCATATACTCCAAACGATCTGTTTCAATTTAGAATTGTGTGGACCACAACATGGCAGCCAAATGAGTTTGGAGTGATATGAACCCTTTACTGTTTCTCAGTTAACAAGCCTCCTATTGCTTGCTTATTTTTATTCAAAATTTTACAAAAGCAGACCTGTACACATTATACAATCCAATACACAATTAAGTTATTTATTGCACACGAAGGGGAAGGACAAGATTCAGAACTTTATGTTCAAACCATTACATGTTACAATTATACATGTGGGGGATACATCTCCTGAAATGGAAAGTTTAACGAAAGGAAATAGTAAGAAGAAAGGGTGATGTTCTCTTCAGTAACAATGACAAAGTGATTTAAAGTGTAAAAGGTTTTAGCTGATGCAGCCCGGTCATCAGACATCTGAGGCCATTCAGAAGCTCATGGAAATCAAAAACATATAGAGTGAATTTCCTGCAGCCTCAGCACAGCAGAAAGAGCGTGCACGCCTCCAAACTACTTCAGGCTCCTCACACTGGGGACATAAAAAACGATGTTATACAATGAACATTGAGACATAAAAGTTTCTATGGAGATTAAAGCTATATGGATATAGAAGGGAAAGAAGAGGGGTCCTTTGTTATTTTATTTATATATGTATATGTTTAAGATTATGTGTATGTATGTCTGAAGGATGCAGGGAAATAGAGGATGGGGGATGATTGTTATTCTGATTTTGCTTGATCCTTTTGGAAAGTAATTATTGTAATCAATTATAACTACTAAAAAGAGCATAAAATAGAGACTTCCAGCAGCAAGGCAAATAAAATACCAGCGTGAAGAAATCACCCCCATATTTTGTTTGTCATTAGTGTTTTTTAGGCTAAATGTTCAGGATTTAGGCTGGCAGGGTATTCACGCCTGGACTATGAACATGGATGATGTCCTGTAATAGTGTTAAACTGGTATCATTGAATGTAAATGGTCTAAACCATAAAATCAAATATTATTATATATAAGTCAAAAAAAGAAAATGCTTGAAATGAAATTGTATTTACAAGTAGCAAGGTTGACTGGTCAAGAGCATCTATTGAGGACGTTTACACACCAAATGATGATGATGATAAAATCACGTGGGTGTCACATGGGCCAAGAAACATGAGCAGTCAGAAGATCAGACATGTTGGAAAAAAACCTCAGGTTAGTCAAGCT